CTCCCTGCCCTGTATGATGCCAATACCCCCTACTGGAGGCCCTGCCATGATGCCATGGATGGTTCCTCCTCCTCCTGGGATGATGTCGGTAATGGGACCTCGTCCTGGAATGAGGTCGCCTATGTGAGGCCACCTGCCAATGATGCCTGGACCCCCCATGATGAGACCTCCTGCCTGCTCCGTGATGGCACTTGGCCAGGAGTGACTCAACCAGACAGATAAGGAGAGACAGGAACTTCTTTATAACCATTTTATATAACTTGTTCAACTTCTCCAGGAGATGATGGTACTTTGGGTGTTTTCTAAGAGCAGGACAAGGAAGACTTTCTCCCACTTCCAATCAAAGAGAGAATAATTTTGGCAGGGGAGTTAGTGAGACCAAAAAAAAAAAAAAAAAAAAAAAAAAAGCAATTTTCATTTATATGGTGAAATGTGAAAACAAAATTGTCAACTGTTTTAGTTTAAAAAAAAAAGAATGTTCATTCATCCTACCAATAAAAATAAGAAGTTTTAAAAGAACAAGCTGTAGAACAAAACAAAATACATGATTCTATTTATATAAAAACGTAATGTTCCCATCTATATAAACTCATAGAAAAACAGAAAAAGAGAAAAAAAACCCTACAACATGCTAAAGTGGGAAAAGTGGCTGGGGAATCGAATGTGCATCTAGGGATGAACAGAAAAACAAAATGTAGTATAGCCACACAATGGAGTATTATTGAACTGTAAAAGGAAGGAGATTCTGACAGATACTAGGACGTGGTTGAACTACCCTCAGTGAAATAAGCCACATGCAAAAGGACCAGTATTGTATGATTCCACATATATGAGTTTCCTGGAACAGTCAAGAGGCAGAAAATAGAATCGGTGGTTGCCAGGGCCTGGCGGGGAGGGCGGGAGGGGGGTTATTTTTTAATGGGTACAGAATTTCTATTGTGGGGGGAAGAAATTCTGGAGATGGTGGTGCTGCTTGCACGGAGACATGAATGTGCTTAAAGCCACAGAGCTGTACACTTAATAATCATTAAAGTGGTAAATGTGATTGTATGGGTATTTTACCACACTGAAAAAAGTAGTTAGGGAGGGGATGATTTAGGAAACCTCGAGGTTTTCCATATTATTTGGCTTTTTACGATAAGAAGATCTTCATGAATACTTGCACGCGTGAATAAGACTTGGGGGGGAAACCATCAAGAGTTAGGGGGAGAACTGTGCATTGCTCTAGGGAAGGAAAGGCAAGGGAGTAGAGAGAAAGAAGGGGAGAGGGGAGCCAACACAGAGAGATCAGGGAGGGGAGCCTTGCGAAAGGGCGGACGGGGAGGTCGTAGGATACCAGCCTAGTAGGACTCTATAGGTTATCTCCTTGAGGCTCTGTGCCCTACCTACACACATGCACCCCACTCTCCAGCCTGGCCCTCAGGAAAGAGGTCCAGTTTGCCAAGAAACAAACTCAAACACATTTTCAAAGCTTAGCTCATTTCAGATGTATTTTGCTTTTAAACATTTCCTGCAAACCCGAGAGGAGCTTGAGTCTTTCCAAATCCTCCTGCTGTCACCACAAACAGCATGCTGTCCCATGGCCCTCAGCAACCAGGGCAATCCCAGAGTCTGGGGGACTCTCTAATGGAGTAGAACAGGGGAGTCAGCCTGGCAAGCCAGACTTCGGGAGAGAGGGCAAGCCATTCCTTAGGAGGGGAGCCTGGGCTGTGCTTGGAGCAGAGCATGCAGGGTAAACCCCTGAGATGACGATGGTTGTCATTATACACACAGGATATTACACAACCTCTGTTCTTTTGGAAGAAAACTGTTTCGTGGCCTCTTGTGTCCTGGGAGGGCCTGACCCTGTACAAACTTCCCGTTGTACACACACGGCACTCGCTGAACCTCATGGCCACAAACTCCACCCCACCCCAACACTCATTTTAACTTCAAAGGCCTGGGGTGGAGGACTAGCCATGGGAGACCAGAGAGGCAAGGTTGCCTCAGTGAATCAGTGAATGCAGAAGGTTTATTTCTGGCCTCCTATGGAGCATTCTATTCTGGCAGAATGTTAAAACATCAAGAAATCAGGATCACGGTCTTCTTACACATGATAACATCAATTCTGATGGTACAATGTGACCTTTCCAATAGGTATCAGAACCTTGAATCACTTGGGGAAAACAATGTGAAATTTAGTCTATGCTCTTATTACAACTCCGAAACTATGATGTCAATGAACAGGAACTGGAAAGAATGGAAAAGTGTTTGTTAAGATAATGGAGTTTTTAATCTTTTTCTTTTTAGGGTTTTTTTTGTGTGTGTGTGGCTTTTTGGGGGGTGGAGGAGGGAAGCTGGTGTCACATGCAGTCAGCATCCATCACTGAATACCCATTCATCAGTTTCTCATCTCTGTAGCATAACGACCTAGCAGCACAGACATTATCCCCATTCTGTGGATGAGCAAATGTCAGCTCAGCAAGGCAGTATCACTTGATGATGATCGTATGGCAAATGAGCTATCTGCTGACTTTCTAACCTGCTGGTCTGCCTTTCCCTCGATCCCTAAGCAGGCTGTGCAGTTCACAAGGAAGTCCCTTCTACTTGCCCCAAGTCAGGAGTTAGAAGAGAACAGAATTCCATTCCATATTTTAAACTGCAGTTCCCTAAATTGAAAAAGGCAAAGAGATGAGAGCCCAGGAACTACACTGAGAAGACTGAGGAACACATGAACAGGTATGTGTCGAGATGTGTAGACAGGGCTGTAGCAGAACCGAGTATGATGAAAAAGACCTCTTTACCCTCTGCAAAACTGCTGAGGCCTCCACACAAAAACCTGGACACAGACATTTCTAATAGCTTTATTCATAGCTGCCAAAACTTGGAAGGAGCCAAGATGCCCTTCAGTAGGTGAACATATAAATAAACTGTGGCCCATCGAGACAATGAACTGTTACTCAGCACTAAAAAGAAATGAGCTACCAAGCCATCAAAAGGCATGGAGGGAGCTTCAGTGCATATTATTAAGTGAAAGAATCTATTCTGAAAAGACTATATAATGTATGACTTAGCCATATGACATTCTGGAAAAGGCAAAAACTACGGAATAAAAAGTTCAGTGATTGCCAGGGGTGGATTGTGGGGAGAGATGAATAGGCAAAGCACAGAGGATATTTACGGCAGTGAAAATGCACTGTATAATACACCATAATGATGTATGCATGTCATTATATATTTGTCCAAACCCACAGAATGTATAACATTAAGAATGAGCCCAACAGAAACTACAGACTTGGGATGATGATGATATTCAATCTTGGTTAAAAAAAAAAATTTATCATTCTGGTAGGTGATGTTGATAATGGGGGAGACTACACATATGTGGGGGCAGGAGGAAGATGGAAAATCTCTGCACCTCTCTTTCAATTTTGTTATAAACCTAAAACTGCTCTAGAAAAAAATAAACTCAAAAATATTATTGAAGCCCCAAATATTGACTGATATTTACCGTATTAGAAAGTATGACCACAAAACTTGACTATTTTAAATCATTTGAAAGTAACTAATAAACTCATTAAGTTTTTAATGAAAAAGCTGTATTTTCCAAACCCTCTCCCAAATTTAGTAATAAAAGTTGCATTGTTCTGCATTTTTACAAATCCCTTTAATGGTAGGGATTAATAGAAGATAGCAGGATTCTTATATCTGCTTCTACACCTAATCTATTGGGATATTAGACTTCATGTAGTCTCTGAGAGCCACCATTTTGAGAGCAAATGGGAATGAAAAGCCAGAAACATCTTAGTATTATTACAAAATTGGTTTTAACTTTGAATCTCCTTAAATGGTCTTGGGCACCCCTGCACCATACTTTGAGAACCATGACATAAAGAACTATTTATGAGAGAGAGAGAGAGATGCCGAGAAGACACTCCAGGACACAAAAACGGTCTTACTCCTCTCACTTTTCACCTTCCCTAAATCCACCCCCATCCAGTGCAGGAACCCTGACTTCTCCGGCAAGGACAAGGCATCTCCTTCTGTCTGAGCCCACCTCATGCTTAAGAAATAAGCTAAAGGTGGGCTGGCTGGGCACAGGCTAACTAGTTAGTCCACCTTCGAAACATACTGGCATTTTTTAAGGGCTTCCTTAAGCTAAACCTCCAGAGCTTGGTTCTAAGAGTGGGCTTTTCAGACTGCTTGCAAAGGGATCAGCTGCCCAGCAGAGCACAGGAGAAAGAACCTGCAGTGGGACACAAGTGCTGACTGAGTTCTGGTCCTGACTGCTGGTCACTGAGTCCTTCTCTCCATGTGTAAACTTGAGAAGCACCAGCCCCTCTGCCCACTTCTCAGGGCAGTCATGGCCTCATTGACTTGACGCCCCCCTCACAAACAAAGTACCTCCACTGCTGTTCAGTTGCCCACTCTGCACACCTGTGCTCTTCGGGGGCCCCTGGAAGCCTGCCTCACCCCAGACACCCACATACGCCTTGCACAGGCCCGGTCCATCCATCCCTGTGCCAGGAAAACGTCCGCGGCCTACACTGTCCTGCGGGTTCCCGCGCACCTTGTCCCGCGCACCTGTTCCGGACCCCGCGGAAAGATGGCCCTGGGCGCCATCCATACCGACCGCATCACAGTTTTGCTGCCCCTTCTCCCACCACCCAGGGCGGGACACGAGGGGCGGGCATTCAAACCACTGAAGTCCAGAAGCAGAGCCAAGCCTTCCAGCCACGAGTCTCAGCAGAGCACCACGCCTGCCGCTCTGGGCCCACCCCTTCACCCCCACTCTCCCGTAGGAGGGAGTTGGGCAGGCAGCGGCCACCCTCCCTGCGGCCCCGTGAAGTCGGCAGCGGCCGCCGTGTGCGGTGCGCACACCTCTGGCGGGGAGAGCCTGTCATCCGCACAGGGTAGGGGGATGCCTCCTGGACCTGGCCCAGAGCGCCCCGGGCGGTGTACCCAGGGGCGCGCGGTGACCGAGGGGACGCGGCCAGACGGCCGGCGGCGGCGCGCGATACCTGTGGCGGAAGAGCGGGCAGCCGCCCAGGAGCCTGTGGAGCTCTTTCTTAAGGCTCCAGAACTCGCCGTCCAGGTAGCGGTTCAGGGACGTGCCCCCGATTCCTGAAGGCGAAGCCAGCTCCATCGCGCCTTCCCGGCTTCTGGCTTTGCAACCCGGCCCCGGGGTCCAGTTTCCCAGCTTCCCTCGGCCCCTCCTCCCAGCTAGCTGCTCGCACGTGGGGTCCGGGAGCGGGAGCGCACGCCCTCTTATGCGCGCTGCGGGGACTTGCCTCCTCCCTACCCCTCCCCCATCCTTACCCCACGCAGGCGGCCATCCCCTGACGTTGCTCCCTGGGCCCAGAGACAAGCTGTCCAGGAAGTCGGGGCTGCTACAGTGGTCTCCTCTCGCCCTCCCCAGGAATCTCAAAGTCTACAGACTTGAGTTTCTACTACTCGTGCCCTCTACTCAGTTGTCCTTCTAGTCTGTGGGCGCAAGAAGCCAAGTATCAGAACTGTAAAGAGGGAGCTGGTCAGGTGCATGTGGTCATGGGAAGTCCTGGTGGCTCAGAGAGGGGACATTTTACTCTGCCGATCTTGCATGCCAGCCTCTTAGCCTGGCACCCCAGATCCAAGCGGGTCTGGTCCAGCTCTGATCCCAACTCAGCTGCAGCTGGGCTCAAATCCCTTTTGCCCCCAAACAGGGCATTACAGCAAACTTTAATATGACTGTGATCTGGGGGTGCCCCCCCAGCAGGTGCTGCAGTACAGAGAAGATGGGAGATGTAGACGGAGCAAGAGAATGAACACAAAATCTAAACTCCTCTCCCAGGACCCTCCTTGTGTTGTTGTGAGCAGTAGGAAATGAGTTGGGGCCTCAGTGGTGATTGTTCATCCATTTCTTCTGGGGAACTCTCATGTATTTTATTGATTCTCCTTTTAAATACAAAGGAAATGTCAGCTCTTCCCTTGCAAAGACCACGCTGCCAGGGAGGTGACCGCTGGGGGTGTGGTGAAACACTTGGGTTTGATTCTGTCCGCTGTCTTTAGGTGAGTGGAGGCCACGTCTATCAGTTTCCTGGGGCTGTGTGGCAAATTACCACAAACTGAGCAGCTGAAGACAACACAAATGTTCTGGAGATCAGAAGTCAAACATGGATCTTACAGGACTGAAATCAAGGTATTAGCAGAGCTGGACTCCTGGAGCCTCCACAGCAGGGGTAGGGGGGTGGGGACACTTTCCTTCTCTTTTCCAACTTCTAGAAGCTACCTGCATTTGTTGGGTACTGGCCCCTTCCTTCTCCCATCTTCAAAGTGCATCAAAACAATCTCTATTTTTATAGCTCATTCCCTTCTTCTGATCTTGACCTTCTTGCCTGCCTCCTACAAGGACTCTCCTGATGACTTTGGGGCCACCCAGATAATCTAGGATAATCGCTATCTCAAAAAATCCGTAATTCAATCACAGCAGCAACATCCCTTTTTCACACATGAGATAGCACACAGGTCGTGGGGATTAGGACATGAACATCTTTGGTGGGCCTTTATTCTGTCTACCATGCCACCTGTGCAGCCACAGGTAACAATACCCCACCAGATGTGATGAATAAAGGCATTGTTCGCTGCTATAATGGGAAGCCTGGAGGTAGGACAGTGCCAAGGTCTGGCTCAGAAGCTCTACCCAGGGACCATGTTTTCTTTCCATCCTTCTGTTCTATCCTTTCTCCATGTGTTATCTTCACTTTTAATTTTTTTTAAACTTGTCTGCTCTCAGTCATAAGATGGATACTGCAGCTCTAAGCAGCACATGATAGTCAGGATAGGATAGTAGTAAGAAACAACCCCAAAGCTATCCCAGGCATGCTGTGGTCACAAACCACCCCTCAACCTTGGGGTTTATAAAGATAAGAGTTTATTTCATATTCATGCCACATGAGGGTTCTATTCCATGTTCCCTCACTCCAGATCCCAGCAGACAGAAGAGCTCCCATTGTGTGCCTGCATAGGTTCCTAAAGCTGCCAGCTGGAAAGGACACATGTACCTTCCACTCATGATCTGTGGGCCAATGCAGTTCACTCCTGACTCTATGAGAGAAGGAAAGTACCCAGAAAGCCAATACCCAAAATAATCTGTGAGTAACACCAGTAACTACTAAACCTGCCCCTTTTGCCCACTAGTGACTACTAAATCTAGCCAAATATTTGTCTCACTCTCCCTTCCACAGGCAAAAATATACACTCCACTCCTCAAAGGAGGCAACCAAATTTCCATACTGTCACAAAATCAGGCCAAGACTAGTGGAGGTTGTACAGTGGTCTTTCCATCAAGTCGGGCATGGTTCCTCTGGATTCAAAGACTTATAAGCTAAAAACATGTTACTAAGCATATGCAGCTTGAGTGAGAAAAAAAAAATCTTTGTTGTTAGAAGCCACCAGGATTTTTTGGAGTGTTGTTTGTTACCCAAGTATAACCTAGTCTATCCTAGAAGCTACTGGAAGAATGTTGTTGCTGAAATGAAAAAAAAAAAAAAAAAAAAAAAAACGTGCACTGGCTTAGGAATTGGGAGGGACTGTGAGGATGCTGTTTACCAAAACCAAACAGAAGGGAGTTCATGTCAGTAAGTGGCAAATGGGCACCTGGGCAGCTCAGTCGGTTAAGCAACTGCCTTTGACTCAGGTCATGATCTCAGGGTCCTGGGATAGAGCCCTGAGTCAGGCTCCTTTCTCAGGAGGGAGTCTGCTTCTCCCTCTGCCCCTCCCCTTGCTTGTGCATGTGCACTCTCTCTTTCAAATAAATAAATAATTTTTTTAAAAGGAAGTGACAAATATTTGATAAAACTGTACTCAACAGATAATATAGCTAATGAAATTGCTCCAGGAGAAGATGCTGGAAAGGTAATATCAACATTGTCTGTTCTGGTTGCTGGCTGCTACTGGTTGTGTTTGACAAACTATAATAAGAAAGGACTGACAAAAGTCTGACCTACATACCTATTAAGAACTCTGGATGGATTTCTGGGGTTCCCAGCAAATCAGCTGTCACTCTGGGGCATATCAGACCAAGCAACCCCCATCTCAAGCATCACAGGCACATCCTCAGAGCACAGGAGTGGGTCAAATGGCCCATGGGCTTGGAAAGGTACCCCAAAAGTGACAGGCACCACTTCGTTCACATGACACACCTACATGAGGGACAGGAAAGTGTCACCTTTCCAAGGTATCCGGAACGGGGAGAATCAATAGTACTTGTCAACCAGCCCTAAGGAGTCTTTCAAGAAAACTATGAATCTTTGAAGGAATTTTTCAGGGGAAGTTATCAAATCAATAACCCGGGAGAATTGCCCTTAGATCTCCTAGACTTAACTAGGCCCTATGCCCACCGTGTTAAGTTTTCCAGAGTTTCCTTAAATTATGACAAACTGGGGGGCTTAAAATAGCAGATACTTATTCTTTCATGGTCCTGGAAGCCAGAAGTGCTCAGAAATCAAGGTGTCAGCAATGTGCCCTGTTCCTTCTGAAGACTCCAAGAAGAATCCCTCCTTGCCTCTTGCTAGATTCTGGTGGCTCCTGACAGTCCTTGGTGTGCCTTGGCTTATAGCTGTTCCAATTTCTTCCTCCATGGTCACATGACCCTCTTCCCTGTCTCTCTCTCTCTCTCTCTCTCTCTCTCTCTCTGTGTTTTCCAATCTCCCTCTCCCTGTGATGTACCAGTTGTTGGGGTTAGAACCCACCCTAATCCAATATGACCTCATCTTAACCTGATTAAACCTGCAAAGACCCTATCTCCAAATAAGGTCACATTCTGAGGTTCCAGGTAGTCATGCACTAACCCTAACCCAGCATACTAATCCAAAACCAGTCACTAAAAACACGAGAAAGGAATGGAAGAAAAGACCATTATTGGCTTAAATAACTGGTTTTCACATTAGCTGCACATTTAGAGTAACCTTGGGTTTTTTGAAAATGCTCAGTAGCGGACACACACACTAAGTAAATAAACCCAATCTCTAGAGATAGAGCCTAGGCATCAGTACTTTTTAACCCCTTCCCCAAAGGTGATTCTAAGGCGCAGCCATTGTCTTAGGCTGGTGGTTCACAACCTTGCTGCACAATAGGCTGTTACATGATGAGGATAATTAGGAAAATGTAAACAAGGTGAATTCAATAATATTACTGTATCATTGTTAATTTCTTGATTTTGCTAATTGTACTGCAGATATATAAGTGACCGTTCTTGTTTTTAAGAATGCAAATTGAAGTATTTAGGGGTATTGGGGTAATTTCCTCCAAATAAGTCAAGAGAAAAACTGTGTGTGTATATATGTATAGAAACACTTATATGTGTATATGGAGGTAGCACATGTATGTGTATATATGTACGTACACACACACACACAGAGGGAGAGAGGAGGAAGAAGATATAAAATGTGCCCCCTAAAGTTATAATGCTAAGTGAAATAAGTCAGAGAAAGACAAATACCGTATGATTTCACTCCTATGCAGAATTTAATAAACAAAACAGAGAAACAAAGGAAGAAAGAGAGAAAGATAAACCAAGAAACAGACTCTTAACTATGCAGAGCAAACTGATGGCACCAGAGAGGAGGTGGGTAAGGGGATGGGGCGAATAGGTGACAGGGATTAAAGAATCCATCATCATGAGAGAAAAAATGCCCCCCCCCCGGAATGTCTGGGTGAGCTAGGACTTTCTCAGTTATAAGTAATAAGAACCAGCCTGAACTCTCTTCAGCGAAATGGGAATGCACTGGTTCACACAATCTAAGGAAGCCTTGGGCATCCCAGCTGGGGAAGGGCGAGAGCGAGGCTGGTAACGGAAACAACTGGGACCAGCTCTCTCCTCCTCCTCCCCCACCCTCCTGATCTTTCCTCCTCCGGCAGCCCACTCCTCAGGGCAGCTCTAAGTCCTTTGTCAGGCAGAAAAAGTCTGGGGCAAGAACCAGGGTCCCCACAGCTGGACCTCAGAGGGAAACGAAGGAACCCAGTGATCACAGGCCTCTGAGAGAGAAATACTGATCCATCGTCGTCGACTGGGGATGGCATCTGGGTTTGTGCCCATTGGGGTGGGGGGACTACTCTTTAGCCCTAGACCCTCCATACAGGAGGCTACAGCTGGCTTTACTCTGCATTGCTCCCAGACCCTTGGCCCTTTTTTGAGAGGTGGGCCCTGAGCTAGAACATTTAAAGAACATTCCCACATGTGGTGGCTTTTGGATCTTGACACAGCCACGTTGCCTTTAGCTCTTTCTCTAGACAAGTGACTATAGTGTTAACTGACTTGCCCAAGGGCACACCTCTCTCCATGGGAGAGGACCCAGGGCTCATACGACTCTAAATCATAGCTTACATTCCATTACCCAGGGAGGACTGACCCATGGGCCTCGGTGAACTTTATGGACACTTCTTTTATGGAGGCCTGGGGCAAGAACATTACGATCCAGGGCTCAGGGTTCTGAGTGAGACACAGACTGTTCTCAGGGGACTTCAGTTTGTCTTGTAGAAATCACGGAACCATAAAATGTCAGTGCCAGGAGCTCCCTGGAGCTGGTCCAGACAGTCCTTTCTTTTTAGAGGAGGACACTGCAGGGCATGGCCTCTAGTGGAGAAGTCTGACCACTGTGCTAAGGTTTGAGGAGGGCAATGGGGCATTTGGGAGACTGCTTTAGTGTCCCACATGCTGCCCAGTACTCCCCACTCTGAGTTCTTCAGAAGACCCAGTAATGGTTCAGATTTACCTGACCCTTGCCTCACCTGCTGATGCAGAGCCTTGACTCCCTAATAAGCCCCTCTTTCCTATCTTGCCAAGGTTTCCAGGAGCCCCGAGGAGTCTCTGCCATGGGACCATGAGCAGCTCTGTTGCCTCGCCCACTGCACACCACTGACCCTGGGTCGTGTGCGGAGAAGGGAGTCAGGAGACACAGCTACCCTTTGCGTTTTTACTTTGTGAACTGGGCCTTCAGGCATAGCTTGCAATGGGGAAACTGGAAGCTTTTACTTACTGCCCCTCTGACCTCAGGAGCGAAATGTGTGTCCAGGGGAAGGGAACGGACAAATTCTAGAAACAGCCACCACACTGTCCTCAGAAGTGCCCTCCACTCCAAACACCCAAAGCTTCGTTATAGGGTCACCTCTGATGAACCTGCCTCCTTTTTCCCCAGGATAAAGTCTGGGAGGAGACTCAGTGGGTTTACAGCAGCCCTCACCACCCCAGTGGTACAGGCTGGGAATGCCCACAGTCTGACATGATTCCATGATTTGTGGCTTGATTCCATGGATCCTTATCTTTGGAAGCAATCAAGCTGTGATCTGTGATGGTGCCTTTCCCTGGCTCCTCAGAGCAAGACCAGCCAGTTTGGAGGCCAGCTCGATTTTCCATATCCCTCCTCCAAGAGACAAATTCCTGGTTCAAGGCAGAGCTTCCCTATGTGAATTCCATGGATCCTCACACAGAGAATTTTCTCTGTGTGTTGCCATGCAGAGACAGCCAGGTGTACCACTGTGTAAAAAGCAAGCGAGGGGGGCGTCTAGGTGGCTCAGTCAGTCAAACCTCTGACTCTTGTTTTCAACTCTGATTGGGATTCTCTCTCTCTATATTGTACCTTTACTTATATTTTCAAAAGGAAATAAGGATAAACAAAAAGCTAATAAAACTGTTACCTATAGAAGGAGGGAGGGAATGGGGATGGAAAGTAAACTCTCTGAATATGCCTTGTTTTACCATTTTGACTTTGGAACTTGGGAAATGTTACGTAATTTTAAAACATTAAATCTATCAGGAAGGGACACCTGGGTAGCTCAGTTGGTTAAGTGGCTGCCTTCACCTCAGGTCATGATACCAGAGTCCTGGGATTGAGCCCTGCGTTGGGTTCCCTGCTCAGCTAGAAGCCTGCTTCTCCCTCTCCCTCTGCCCCTCCCCGCCTTCTCTCTCTCTCTCTCACTCTCAAATAAATAAATAAAATCTTTAAAAAAAAAAAAATCTAACGGGGGTGGGGGGGGAGCAGTCCCTAAAAATCAAAAGCAAACTGAAACAAATTTACTCAATTCCATTTCAAGTTAGTGGCATAACTGCAAGAGAAAAACTATTTTAGTTGACCTTAAATTCATTACTTTAACTATATACCCACTAGGAATATAGCCCAATAAAGGCAAAAGAACCACAGCTGACCCTTGAACAACACAGGGGTTAG